AGCAAATGGCATCCGCTCTTCAACACTGATATTTCTTGCAAGCCCAATCAACTAGTGCCTTCTTCTACTCCGTCCAAAGAAATAAACGGCACTCCACTGAGTTAGGCACTGACTTCATAACTAAGAAAAAAGCAAAACCAGCTCGGTCACTTCCAGAGATGGCATCTCCCATATTTGTAGAATCTGTGTCAGGCCCGAGTGTCAGCAACTTAATTCACTCGACTGCACTGGGCACTGACAGCTTGCCACAGACCAAGGCACAGAAAGTTTTAGAGGTGCCCACAACAGCATGCACTACTGATGAAATCTGCCTGCAAAGGCTGGCCTAGGTCTCCCTGGGACAGGCTGGAATACAATACAATACAATACAATACAATACAATACAGTACATTCATGCAGGACAGAGGCTCATTCCAGCTGCAGCCCTCTGAGCAGGACCAAGGGTTTTTCTTGCCACTGCCAGCTAGTAACTACTGAAGATACGGGCAAAACACAAGGTAAGATCCTCATCTTAACCACATCAGACAAAAGAAACAGGTTAGGACTATAAATCACATAAGGGATTTCTGACTTGACAGACCACAAACAGAGTCCACTGCAGTAGCATGTGCTGTGTGTGCAGCTGTGACCTCTGAAGGCAACAGCTGAATCCTGCAGTTACAATGAGGGTGGTGAGGTTTCTCTCTGGGGAAAGGTATGCTGGCTAACACACTTTGGGATTTCTAACCCCAATTACTCAGTTGTAGCACTTCTTATTAGGAACTTAGTGTGTTATAGTTGTCTGGGGACTGGTATTCTGACCAGCAGTGAAACTTGGCATTGACTGAGATTCCGCACTAAAACTTTGCTGTGAGAAGGGAGCAGCATGGAGTAGAGAAAAGAGTATTCAGATGGAGATGGCTTTCAGGTGGGAAATTAATTAGTGAGAGCTGGAAATCAAAAAACAAAAAGCTACAACAAAAGTATAATTATGTTCTAATACCAGATTGGTATATTTTTATTATGCCGCTTATGAATAGAAGATTTTAAGAAACGTAGATAAAAACAACAGTGTTACTGCTGCACAATGTTTTTTTTTACTAGAATCCAGTTCACCAGATTTGTAATGACTTGCTTTGCACTCCTGTCACGTGGACTAAAACGACACCGTATGTCTGATATATCCACTGCTACAAGAAGAGATCTGAATATAGGTTCTTGCACTTACGAGGTAGGTTGAGGACTTGCTCTGTCAATATCGGAACTATGTTTTAAAAAAGCAGATAGCATTACAATCTTTGGTCAAGCAAAAACATGAAACACAGCATGAACTGTATTTTATTCACCCAACAGTACGAAGATACACATCTACAGAGGTTTGCTGCAGGTAAAAGAAATCAGCTTGCTTTGGACTTCTAATCAATAGTGTCACGGTCACGGTGAGACAGTGGGCTCCAGTTGCACTTATTTTTGTCCTCTGGCAAAATGACAGTAGCGCTTGCATAATCCGTCACATCTAGTTGGATACAATCACACACAGAGTCAGGGCATGGCTCTTAACCCAGACAGAGTCTCTTTACTTAGGTATATTGCCTGTGATGGGATAAGATGCTGAGGCAACAAGGAATCCGTGAAGTCCTAGAGTTCAAGTGTCTTACAAAGTTGAACTCCAGGACTGATAATCAGGCCCTTGGCATTGTTTTCACATAATTCAGCATGACAGCAGATGTAACAATTATACTCTATCCTTGGTGGAAGCGTTTCAAATCCCAGTAATCAGTGCACACTGGAGAAACACAGTGTTTTGGAAAACACGTGAAGTCTGCTGGGAGATGAAAGGAAAGGCTGCCCTGAAATTAAAACGCTGCTGTTCTTCAGGCCCAGACGACTGCTTTATGAGGCAAGGATTGGTCAGCTAAGCTGAGCTTTCATAACATTTGTACAGCCTTCTCATACAAATGACGCTTTCGTATTTTCGGTCGGTCTTTGTTTCCCTGAACTGGAGTGAGCAACTTTCAGGCAAGGCCAGAAGAAAAAGTCCCATAATATTTGTCCAACTTTTCAGAACAGTTCCTTCCAAAAAGTCTGTTCACGTCTCAGTTGGGTTTTGTGTCTTTCTCCAATGACCTGCTCAGGAAGCCTTTGTTTCTCACCTCCATTTACAAGTAGGCTTACTAACTGATTTGCTACCCTTGCCCTGCAGCAAAGGTCATTTTTGAGAAGAGGTAGAGGACCACAATGAAAGTAACCCACATGTTTTTCGTGCGTTTCTTTGGTTTATGGGAGCCTTCAGGAAATTCATGAAACTGGCAGCTGCTATTGTACAAAGCTGGTATCCCAAGTCCTAGTCTTAGGAATATCTCTTGCTCTACAACTGTAGCTGGCACGTAGTCAGCATATCAACTGATTGATTGGCATGCGGTGTTCACTCTTCATGAAGATACGCCTCTTACAATGACCTATCACAGAACAGGGAAACAGGGGCACCATCAAAACCAAGCAGCTGCAAGCCTGAAGTGGGCCTCGGATTCGCATTTCTGCTGGGCATAAAGGCCCAGGCTGCCCACGTGGCCAGGGATGCCCCGCTTCCTCTGAAGACTGGGTGAGCGATTCGCATTCTTACACACGTTTCCAGTCTAGATCATGATTTCTGTATTTGCACGTGCAGAATTAAGATCTGACCCACTCCAAAGAGGGTCCAGGTGATTAGAACAAACGCTTCACTGCCCGGTGACTTGTTTCTCCCTGTAGAGTCAGGTGGCAATTAACAAAATGTAACTAACAAAGTTCTTAGCTTTAGCGAGTAAGTGCAATCCTGAGACATGGTGTTAAGGACGTTTTGTGTTAAAATGCTATGTTTCAAGGTACACTTCCAACCTTGGCTACTCGGGCTTGTTCACGAGACGAATCAGATTTCATTCAAGTATCTGTTCCAGATGTCTGGTTTTAAGAAAGATTTATGTTATCAGAAGAGGATTGGATGCTGTCATCCCTCAGTTGCCTTCTCACTCTTTAGCTGCAGATGTGTGCTTTCATAGGGCAGAGAACAGGCTTTGCTCTCAGCACCTGAGTGCTGAGTTTTCTGGAAACACAACTGCACGACTCTACCATTTGGAGAATAATGACTAGAACAACAAGATACCCTGAAGTTATCAGTGTTCAGGTCAGGTAAAAATCTATGTTCTCTTAAGGTCAGCTGAAATGAAGAACAGAAAGTAGAAAGCATGGGTTTGAGACTTTTTTGGTTTTGTTGTTGCTGTCAGAACCAACCCGGAGATCAAATTGGTTCTGACACCATTCTTAACCATAACATCAATGGCATTTTCAATCTAGTATCTCCTAAATTATTTGTCTTGTCAATGCTGGACAAGTACCTGGGAAGCAGCAACCCTGACGTACATACAGAATGGGGGATGCAATCTTTGGTCTCAGAACCGGAGTGCTGAATTTTATTGAAACACAACTGCAGGACACTACCATTTGGACTTCCCATTGAATTTCCCAGTAAAGTAGACCTTTATGTATGGACCGTGAGCGTTATTTCCTCTTGAGCCATCCCAAAGGAATTCATGAATCTTACTTGCACCCACTCCCCGCAAGTGGCATGCAGCACTCAGGCATTTGGAAGCTGATAATGGAAGATATTCCAGGAAAGCGCCTGCAAAGGAGAATGCTGACAGAAGAGCGATGAGTTGAAAAGGCATTCCTGAAGCAAGACGAGGGGAAGGCCAAACCCAATTTCTACGCAACACATTAGTGAAAATGCTACAGGTTAATGCTGAAGAAACAGAGGAAACAGATGAACAATTAGAGTTGATTTAATCGGAGAAAAAGAAAGACCTGTGCGTTAGCGTCAAATGTGAAGCATAAATGGTGGACAGGAGTGAAGGGCAAGATACGGTAAATCAGAAACAGGGAAAAGGGGTAATATCTCAAACATGGGTGGGGGCAGTGGGGGCGGGCAGCCCATGGCGACGTCCCCAAGCCACGGACTGTGACATCATCGAGCGACAGACTGTGACTGCTTAGCCCTCACTGCTCATAGTGGGGTGCCGCCAGAGCCTGGCTCAGTCTGGCTCGTTCCTGGACCGTGCTGAGCAGCTCTGCGAGGCTTTGAAGGTCGAGCAAGGTTTTGGCTGTGCTGTGCTGGGTCGTGCCTGGGGCTGCTTGCAGCATCTCAGTGCCTGACCCCGCAGCATCGCTTCTGTTTCCCTGGCCCTGCCCCGTGCAGGCAGCCAGGGCCCTGCAGAGTGCACCCGCAGCAGCGGAGGTGAGTGGTGCTGGGACGCCTGGGGTCCTTCAGGGGAGCCGCGGGGAGCCTGGCCCTGTGTCAGCAGGGAGCAGCAGACGGCCCAGTCATGGGCTTGGGAGGGCTTCCTGCTGAGGGCTGCCAATGGCTTTCACACCCTGGGACAGCGAGTGACTGTGACCTCCCTTCCTCTTGCAGAGTGCAACACCACCGCTGCAGCTCCGGCGAAGGAGAACAACTGGTCATCCTCAGTTCTCCCAGCCCGCTGCAGCGAGAAAGCCATGGCCGCAGAAGAGGCATGGACATGCTCCATCTGCCGCGATGTGCGACAGGACGTCGCCTACGCCGTTCCATGCAATCATATGTTCTGCCTCGGCTGCATCCAGCGGTGGGCGAGGCTGAAGGACAGCTGCCCGCTGTGCAGGACGGCCATGAACACCATCCGCGTCTCCGTGCGGGGAGACAATGAGTACGTGGAGTGCATCGTCTCCCCGCCCGCAGTGCCAGTGCCCGTCGGCTTTGGCACCACCACCGGCCCCAGCGGCACTGCGGCATCTGCTCCACCGTCTGCACCACCGTCCCCTGAGCCCATGGCCGTGGAGCAGGAGAGAGTGGGCGGCCTCCTGCCAGAGGTCTGGGCGGCACTCTTCAGGGAGAGACAAGACATCCTCGACCCGGTGCTGCCCTGGCTGGAGCAGGAGTTACGTCACCACGGGGAGCAGCGCTGGTGGAAGATCAACTGGCTGAAAAGCATGATCCTGGCATTCCTGTGCCAGGTGGGGCCGGACAGGGACATCCTGGTGCAGTGCACAGAGCACGCCCTGGGGCCCATCACCGCACCGCTCATCGACGCTCTCGTCACAAGCATCGAGAGCCGGTGCGGCCAGCGGGCCCGGAGGTTCCTGGGCCTCGAAGACCCCAGCGCTGCCCAAGAGCAGCAGGACGGGCCCGAAGACCCCAGCGCTGCCCAGGAGCGTGAGGACGGCCCCGCGGCCCCGTCCGGTCCCGCCGCCTCCCCGCATGGGGCCGTCACCCCCAACGCCACACCATCCAGCTGCTCCGTGGGTCCCGACGTGGAGGAGCTCCCCAGCACATCCAGCGGGGCCATCAGCACAGGGCCTGCTGAGGAGCCGGCTCCCGACGCAGCCGGTCCCTCCGAGCAGCTCCGCAGCCGCGGCCCCTCTGCTCGAGGCCGCGTCAGGAAGCGCTTGGCTGGGGGACCCCGGCGCCCCACAAAGAGGAGGGCCGGCAGCACCCAGCGCGCTCCTCCGCCCTGCAAGAGGCGGCCTCCCCGGTCCCTCTAGCGGGGCTTGTCCGCCCTTCCAATAAAAGATAAAATCGTAAAAGCACGCGTTGTTTCCAGTGTCCATCTTTTGGGACGATTCACCCTTCACGCACACGCCCGTACCCCCAACACTGTGCCACGCGAGAGCCAGTGCTCTCAGCACCCTTACTGCTCTTTTCAAATACCTGAAAGTTGACCTCAGCATAAGCAGGGTTGGGCTCTCCTTGCTGGTGACAGGATGAGGGGAAATGGCCTCAAGTTGTGCCAGGGGAGGTTCAGTCTGGATATCAAGAAAAACATGCTTACATTTCATCTTGGAACTTTTGCAATATTCTCGCAGAGTGGCAACTTTATTTCAAACAATCTATAGTCATGATCTTTTTTCTAGCACAAGAAAACACTGATCTCGGGGTGCCAGTTTTGTTTACTCTTGTCCTAAATTTAATCCTCTCTACGCTCAGACATAATTCTGCATGAAAACAAAAGTCACTGTTACTTGCTGGTTTAAATAAACTGACATCAGAGAAGACAAGAAAGCCCAGACAGGATTCATCTGAGGGCTCGTTAGCTAGCTCCACGCATTTAACTGCAGGGCATCCTTTCCTTCTGCTCAGTAATGAAGGCAGATCACGGTACGTTCCACCTCTCTCCTCCGCCCTTTCAACCTTGCCGGACTGATTGCTTCCTTATGCAAATAAGCAAAAGATTCTCAAGTTCACACTCTCTAAGATTTTGACTATGCAACTCCTGGATCCTTTCTTGAAATGCCAGCTGCCATACAAAGCAGCTTAGCTGGAAAGAGAAACTTTTGCTGTTGTTTTATTATGTTGATCAAATGCTGTTAGATTTGACAATATTTAACTCGCCTATGTTAGCCAGACGTGTGATATCTAAATGGGGAAAGCAAACGTGGTTTAAAAATCAATACTATCAGATGTATCTGCATGCATGTGTCAGCAGTTTACGGGCTGGTTCGGCCCGGTTCCGTGACTAGCGGGGCGGAGGGATCTGCAGATCTGCACCTCCGGAAAAAGGGAACAGGGGACCCCAAAATAATTAAAAAGAGCAGCAACGATCTGAGGAGAAACATACTAATTTACTAAATACAGTATCAGAATGTAAGATAACACACTATAATACAATATAATTAAAACTGAAGCTACTAAATCAAATATAATGAGAGAGAGAATGTCCAGAAGGTGGATAGGCCGCACCACAACACTGAGGTGAGATGCGCAGCCCAGTTGAGCAGCAGGGGACGGGAGAAGAACTGTACCAGAAAGCTATGCCAGTACATTTGCATCAATGTATGGCAGAGGAGAAAGAAGACCCCTTATAAATGAACTGATTAATAAACCTCTGACATTCTTGGCAGAGAATGCGGGCAAGAGCTGCTTTTTAGTTTTTAGAACAAATCCCTCTCTGCTCTCGGACAGTTTTGTTGGGTAAGTTTATCAAAAAAGATAAAGGGAAAAGAAAAAGGGAGAGTAGGCGATCACTGAAAACTTGACCTTGAAAGTCTAGGTGGACTGCCAGTATTCTGGGATATTTGTAAACGTTGAGCACTGCTATCTTGCTTCTGTAAAGAGAAAAAATGCTTTCTCTTCTAAAATTGCCTTTCAAGGGTCTGCATACAATGTGGCATACAACTCCACAGGGAGCTGTTAATTTTACTGAACTTGGGATTTTTAAGCAGGCTCCCAGTCCCTCCTTTGAATCCTTTATGCAGTTTTTGAATGCTCATCTGATCACATTGTCAATCTCCCTGAATGTACTTC